ACCACTTTCGCTATCTGCGGATTTTGAATTAGTAAATGCCAATGGGAGTCCAGGGCCTTCTTGACTTCATCCCATTGTTGTCCGAATTTAGTTATGAATCTTACCGGTTGGTTTTCAGTATTCGCAGCTGCCTTTGGTTTTGATTTATTAATTAGTTCCTCTCTTGATTTACCGAGGGCTCTTCTTTTTGCTCTTCTTAGGGTTCTATGTGAATAGCCCCTCTCTCTGAACCTTTTGTAGAGCTGGATAGATTCATGTCTATATTCTAATTCTTCTGTACAGTTTCTTTTTATTCTCTGGAACTGACCAATAGGGATTCCCTGTTTTAGACTCTTTGGATGGTAGCTATTAGCATGTAGAAGTGTATTGGCCGCTGTTTCCTTTCTAAATGTTTTAGTGACCAGTTTATTTTCGTGGACAGAGATTGACAAATCCAAAAACGTTATCACCTCTCTATCCACTGTATAAGTAAGTTTGATATTTCTATCATTCTTGTTCAAAAATTCCATAAAGCTTTTAAGCTCATCCATACCTCCATCCCATACCATTAGGACATCATCAATGTATCGCAACCAGGTTATTGCATATTGTTTATAGGGAGTGGAGGGATATACTAGCTCCTCTTCCCACATACCTAGATGTAGACATGCGAATGCCGGGGCCCAAGGTGCTCCCATGGAGGTACCACATATTTGCTGATAGAAGAAGCCCAGAAACTGAAAACAGTTATGGGTCAACATAAACTCAAGCAAATCCAATATAAATTCATTTTGGGCCTCCATTTCAGGAAAATATATCTCCAGAAAATGGGCCACCGCTTTTTGTCCCCAAACGTGTGGGATGGAGGTATAAAGTGATTCCACATCGATGCCCACCAGGAGTGCACCTTCTGGTACTTTTACATTTAGAATTTTTTTTTTTTTTTTTTTTTAAGTACATCCCCCGTATCTCTTACATAAGATTTGAGCTCCAAGACCAAGTCCTTGATCAAGTCGTCTACAAATTTACCTATTGGTTCCAAAGGGCCACCAATAGCAGATACTATAGGGCGTCCCGGTGGTTGAGAGGGATTTTTATGTATGTTTGGGATTACGTAGAAGGTGGGGATATTATATGTATCAACTGTCAACATATCACATTCCCGTTTGGTTAATAGGTTTGCTTCACGTGCCAATCCCACTTTTTTATTTAGATCAACCACCAGTTTTGGGAACGGGTTATTTATGTAGTTTGCGATATGTATCCAGACTCCTCAGCTGTCTAAACACCTCCTTCTCATATTCCACACTCTCTAGTAGTACTACATTCCCCCCTTTATCACTCTTTTTAATCACAATGTTTTTAGCATCCAGGATAACTATTCCATCATTACACTACTCTGCCTTATATGGTGCTCTGTTGGCTAAGATGGCCCTAAATTGAAGACGCTAAGTGTTTTTAAACATGATTTTATTTTTTTCATATGTACACCGTGCTCATGTTTAACCTCCCCATGATCTATGTGATCAAATAAAGTATTGTTAAATTCATTTGAATTCATACTACTCCGCGTGGATCTTTTAGAAACCTTCTTTTTCAGATAGGCGTGTTCTTGTCACACTATCATATTGTTTAGTAGGCAATCAAAGGGTTAACTGTGTGCCTAACAAGTGTTGCCTAACAATGTGTGCTGCTTCTACTAAGAGATGTGTCTGTTTTATCTCCCTGCATTGCAGGGAGAAAAAAACAGCCACATCTATGCTCTGTGTACAGAGCCCTGTGTTATTTGTAAACACAAGGCTCTGTACTGTGATCCGCTAAGCGGATCAGTGGGTCCTGGCCATAAATTATTGGCTCAGACCTGCTGATCAACTTGTGCTGAATGACAGCACAGATGGGGTGGTTGGCACACATACATGTGCGTAATCCAGCACAGAGCCACCTCCTGCAGCAGTATATCTATATGGAGCAGTCTGCTACTGGTTAATCATAGCTATCTCACATACATATCAAAGTACCATATATACACTAAGATCCTTAAATCTTTTAAGACTTTAAACCAAAATCAAAATACAGTTCAGAACAAATATTTTTAATTTTGTACATAATACATAAACATCAAAAGGTATGAACTGGAGGAGCATGTGCAGCATCCCAAGATGGAGGACATGTGATGGGTGAGCTCCTCCGATCCTCAGTTTGCAACGGCCTCCCGACATTCTTCTGAAGCGGACAGGCCTGGGAGTGCTCTCTTCCAAATCAGGACACCCTCAAGCACACACATGGGAAAAATCGGGTGGTGGAAGCTGCCCATGCTGCCTCCTCTGGATCTGAGGTCTTTTCACTAGGCCTGCATCCCCGGCCTCGAGTAGCTGCGGAGGGTCAAGTGAGTGCTCCAGAGAGTCCACTGAAATGCCGGGGATGGACACAGACACCCCTGCTGTCTTGCCTCCTACTTCAGTACCCCCCCTATCCGACGATGGTTATCCTGGAGGAAAAATTGCAGGTATTTTGTATTCAATATCAGCTGCACTATCTCGGCTGAAATCAGGAAATTAGCCCAGGAGCTCAAGAGGGAGATTACTCAATTGGGAGACCACACAAACCACCTTGCAACAAAGTTTAATGAATTAGTGCAATATGTGCATGTCTTGGAAGAGGATAATGCAAATTTGAAACATTCCGTGACTCAATTACAGCTGCAGCAGTAGGACCTGGAAAACGGAACGTCGCCAGAATATTTGTGTTTGTGGCATGTCTGAAACGGTCCCTGACTCCCAATTTAAACTTTACGTGCTATCTCTGTTTACCAGTCTGGCTCAAAAAGTCCCAAATGCTGACTGGCGTATGGACAAGGCCAATATATTGTTAGGCCCAAAGCCTCTTGAGGGTTCTAGTCCCAGAGACGTCATCATTCATTACTTCGAGAGTGAAAAAGCCTTGCTCACCTCTACCCGCAAAAAAGCCTCCCTGGAATTTAAGGGGGACAAGCTTCAGATTTTCAGTGACCTATCCCCTGTTACTTTGGCTAAGAGACGTGTTTTGAAGCCAGTTACTACTCATCTCCAGCAGCATCGTATTGCCTACCAGTGGGGATTTCCTTTTAAGCTTGTTGTCACCAAAGATGATTCCAAAGTTTTACTCCGCAATCTACATGAAGCAGACACCTTCTTCAAACAGCTGGGTCTTCCCTCCCTGCCATAAGAGGCCTTTTTGCAACCTCCTACACCATCCAGGTCTTCTGCTACTCCCCGCAAGATCTTAACACCTACTAAACCCGGGATGAAGAGGTTTCCAGCTGTCGTGTTGCCCCCTTGTATGTCAGGCTTTTTGTCCTGATGGGTTTATATTTTTGATGATATCTTTATTTCCAGTCGTATTCACTGCGACTTCTGTTCTTTGTTATGCATTTGTTATTACTAGGCCTGTTGCCACGATAATTGCCTGGTTCTCTGTATATGTTGATTCCTGTCTTGTCTCATCGATGATAATTTTTTTGTATGCTCAGGTTGTACAGCTGCTATACCTATTTCTGTCGCATGATGACTTTAAGGCTGTTGTCATATAATGTCAAGGGGCTTAATTCAATGCAAAAACAGTGGATGGTTCTGAAGGAGTTCAGATTCTAGGTAACAGATATTATATTCTTTCAGGAAACCAATTTTAAACAGGATGGCTCTTTTAGTTTTGCCTCCAAGAGCTTCCCACAATCCTACTGAGCCTTTGATCCCTTCGGGAAAGCCGGAGTAGCTATGTTGATCCGGAAAAACTGCTCCCTGAGGGTCTCCTCCTCTCAAGTTGACCCACATTGTCTTTATGTTATGTTGGAATGTATGTATGCGGGCTCTCCAGTGGTACTTTTGAATTTGTATGCGCCCAACTCTAGTCAGCTGTTATTCCTTTCTCAGACTTTAGACAAGCTATGTTTGATATCTTCTCCCTCTATGATTATTGGGGGGGATTTTAATTTAGTTATGTCTCCCCATAAGGATAGAAGAGTGATCTTTGCCCCTACTCCATCGAAGAGGCTATGCTCCTCCTCAATGACTCAAATTGATTCGGGAGCATCGCCTCTTCGATGCCTAGCAAGTCAAACATCCTCTCCATAGGCAATTCACGTTCTATTCCACACCACATCGCATGTACTCTAGATTAGATCACTTTTTTTATCCCCTTCCTGGTCTCTTCGGAGATCGTTCTGATGACTTTGTCGTACCATGCCTCACTATCACTTGATCTCATTCTCATTTTTAAACAGCAGTTTGTGCTGCACATAAAAACATATTTGTATTGATTAGTAGTGATGAGATGAATGCTCAGGATTTGCATTTGGGGTAGTTTCATGGACTTAAAAAAATTTGGGTGATGAATCTGAAACAATATGAATTTCAAGTCAATGGAAGCCAAATGTTGGAACACAGTAATTCATTTTTATAGGCTAATGGATAAGGGATTATTAACCATTTGCTTACAGGGCACTTATACCCCCTTTCTGCCCAGGCCAGTTTGCAGCTTTCAGCGCTGTCACACTTTGAATGACAATTGCGCAGTCATGCAACACTGTACCCATATGAAATTGCTAAACAAACCAAAAACAACTGAAAATGTTGAAAAAAAAAATATTCTTAGTTTTTGGTATAAATAAAATTTTGTAAATAAGTGATTTTTCTCCTTCACGGATGTGCGCTAATGAGGCTGCAGTGATGGGTACTGATAGGCTGCACTGATTGGCACTGATAGGTGGTACTGATGGGCATTGACAGGCATCACTGATGGGCACTGAAAGACACTCAAATATGGCACTGATAGGTGGCACTGACTGGCACTGATAGGTGGCACTGACTGGCACTGTTAGGTGGCGCTGACTGGCACTGTTAGGCAGCACTGACATGCAGCACTGACGGGCACTGATAGGTGGCACTGATGCGCACTGATAGGCGGCACCGACTGGCATTGATAGGCAGCACTGACTGGCACTGATAGGTGGCACTGATTGGCAGCACTGATAGGTGGCACTGCCTGGTATTGATAGGTGGCACTGACTGGCACTGATAGGTGACACTGAAAGGCAGCTCAGATGGGCACTAATATGTGGCATTGATGTGCACTGGTAGGCACTAATATGTGACATTGATGAGGCACTGATGGGCACTGGCAGGTGGCATTAATGAGCACTGACAGCAGGCATTGATGGGCACTGACAAGTGGCACTGCTGGGGCTACACTGATCATCAGGGCACACTGATCATCAGTGCCCTGATGATCAGTGTACCTGTTCCCTCTGAGGAATGCCAACTATCGGCTCTCCTCTTCTCTCGAGCTGTCAGCGTGACAGCTTGTGAGGAGAGGAATGCCCATAACCAGCTTTTCCCTATATACATGCGATCAGCTTTGATTGGACACAGCTGATCACATGACCGAGCCGACATCTTCGGCTCTTTCCGTTGATCGGTGATCCGCTGTGTCCCTCGGACTACCGATCGCCACGCTGCGCGCTCCCCCAGAGCCGCACATGCATGGTTAGAGTGACGTCCACATGACGTCCTCCCAGAACGAGAGAACCGCCTTGCACCCGTCATTACCTTATATGGCGGGCGGGAGGCGGTTAAACAAATGGCATGGGGAGCCAGGGACTGCCATATGAATTATTTGCCAAAACAAAGTTTTAAAAATTCTGTTTGGGGAAAGAAGTGATATTAATAATGCTTAAAGAACAACATTAAAATGCAAAATTCTTTAAAGGATAAGTTCACCTTTTGGACATATATATTAAATGCACATTTTTTTTGCAGGTAAAAATGTGCATTTATTATTTTTGTCCAAAGGAGCCTGAAAAGCATTGCACCAGCGATCAATAGATCGCTGATGCCATGCAGGTCTCCTGCAGACCTGTTAGAATATCTACTTGCTGTACGGGATGTACGGCTAAGCAGATATTCTGACAGGAAACTTCAATGAACTACCACGGCACTCCACAGTGCCGTGGCAGTTCATGAAAACTATAAGCCCATAGTCGCTAAGGCTGCCGGGACTTGCAGTTCATTCATTCACAGAAGTGTTTTAAAATCTGACAGATAGTAAAAGGAACTTCTCCCCATATTATCTGTCAGAGGAAGGGGGTGGCGGGCATGGCTGTAGCTATGGGAACATGTCACATGTTCCACCCTAAAAATGGGTGGAACATGTAACATGTTCCCAAAGGTGAACTGATTCTTTAATTTACATTGATACCCTGTAAATGTTTCAACTTTGTGCAGTTTAATATAACTATACATAGTCACGGTTTCTTTGGTCACTGTGTTATTATAGGTTATCATTGATCTGTTGACATAGTTTGGCAACTTTTTTATTGTGGTTGCAGTGCTGGATTAGGGATGGACTTTGAGTGGTTGGATGCTTGGGCCCAACTGTCAGGTCAACCCTTTTCCTCCTTGGTTTATCTGAATGCAGGGAAGATGTTCTGAGTTCCTTGGGGTCTGCCCTCCCCTATACAGGCACTGTTGCTGGTCGCTCCCTTTGGATGGTGCTTGGGCAATGAACCCTGTATTAATGCATCAGAGCTGGCACCATTTTGGTGCATGCTCTGTGGTGTGTCTGCGCTGCGAATGCTTAAGGAGGCATTTTTGGCATTCTCAGGTGGTGGGAACCTATATAAGTGTAAGACCCGGATCTGAACCTGCAACCTCTGCAATGTTTGGTGATGTGTCTTCTTAATGAGCCACCTGAGATGCTAGACAGTCCCTTGTCTGATTGTTTGGACTTTCCTGCTTTGTCTTTTGTTTTTGGTGAACCTTAAACTCTTTGCTCCTCCCATGAACTTCCTGATTTAATACATGTCTCTGAATTTCCTGTGTGCTCTTTCCAGCCAATAACCTGCTCTTGTCACTCCTGCTGCTGTCTGTATCTCCACTTTCACTTGTTGCTGAACTTTGGCTTGTTCCTCAACTATGCTTCTGCTTAATTCCAACCTGTGACCACGTTATTGACCATTGTCTTGTTTACTAACTACGCTTCCGCTTGATCCCTACCTGCTATAGCTGTTAATGGACTCCAGCTTGCTCACTTCCTTGTGGGGTGATCCCGAGGACCATTGTAATGATTATGCGCAATAGAGACATGGAAGCTGTATGCAACAGCCATCTTTTTAAGGTCTCAGCCATTTTGTTTTCATGAGCAGTGTTCCTATTCTTCCCCCCTACCCCTTTGCAAACTATGGAATTTGCAGCTGTAGCTGTAACTTGTAACAAACTTCAAAAGAGCCTCTTATCTTAATTAAAACACAAATAGATGCAGCTCCAGAACTGTAAACCACTAATTAGTCTTGATAGGATGTCTATTTTCAGGAACCATGAAACCCACTTTCCGCTGCCCTATCGTAAAACAATAACTCATTTCAGCTATCACACATGACCTGTTAGGCCATTATGGCTCTAGGAAGGCAGAGCCTGCCATAAAATGTCTATTCCATATGTAACAATTCCACATAGAATTCATAGAATTCAACAGGAACTGGGCACATTAATATTAATTATATATTTGAAAAGGGCATATCATGCCAAACAAATCAAGGTCATACATGACTATGTTAGCACATAGGAAAGGGGAGAAAGCAGTCTCTTCCCTCCTGGGTGACAAAGATATGCTGTGTTTGGTATCCCTGGGTTTGAAATATAATTCTGAATATTAATCTGCCAGTTGCTAGAATACCACTTGCACATACTGGAAGTTATTAATATTAGTATGAAATTGTTGTTGGGACTTGGTCATAAACTTGGTGACCTCCTAGCACCCCCATCCCCTAAACCAAATGATTGGTCAGTTGTTCTCAGGCGACACCCCTTTAATATCATAGAAAAGGACTGACAGGCCTGGTGAAGGGGAGCTCTCGTTTAACATCTATGAAGAAACATCTTAACGGACTTGAGAGCCAAGGAAACATTTTTGCTCGGACAATTGGACTCTGCTAAACCAGGACTTTGCAAGTATTCTGCCTTCTTAACTCCTTTCTTTTATTTCTCTGTTGCTTTATTGTTCTCTTTATGTATTTGTAACATCTTTTTCTGTAAATATCTTAATTGCACTATTTTGACCTTTTTAGCAATAGACCCTATTTTGAAAAAGTGCTGAAAGTGTCTCTAAAGCTTTTAATTCAAACTAAAGAATCCCTGTCTCTTGAAGAGTGCTACTGTATACAATAATCCTCTGAATATACCTGTCTGTGGTGACAGTGTGTGTTGCAGACATTTATGCTAAATTCATAGTGTTATTGCTAGGATTTGTGAGTTTTCTTCTTCTCTTTAAAAAGGCGGTGATGGCAGTGTGAAGGGTTAATTTGCGTAATTAACCTAACCCAGTAACAATCGCTCTCAGGCTGCTGGCACATAGATTGTGTTCCCGCAAGATGGAAAATCTTTGTGCAGGGTGCAGCTGAGAGTGGTATTGTTACACAAGTGACAGTACGGTATGAGATTGGCTGGTCCTTTGTCACGAGATGGGCATGGAGTCGGACGCCACGTTCTGTCACAACCATGACCTGGTGCTAACACACAGCAAAACCCATCTTCACCATTAGGAGCTCTGGGGAACATTGGTTAGTGTTTAGACTCCACAACTGGGATGAGCCTGCATCATTCACCAAGATGACCTGCTTGTATACCTATCCTTCTGGTTGGTGAGAGCCTCTCTACTGCTATAGCTACTGGCCTCTGAGGCTGACCCTCAGAGACAATAATAGAGGTGATAGAGAGTGGTTGACAGGAACATGCAGTGGGATTTCTTGATTTTATGATAGGCAGCTGTTATTCTAATATAAGATGAGCATTGTGCAAATGTATTTGTCCACAGACACGTTGTATCCTGTTTGTGCTTTTGGATCTAATGGATAGTACTGGGTTCTATGTAAGGAGCTCATATTGGTCTTTGGTTGATGTGGGGCTTTGAGAATCTTCCACTAATAGTGTTGCTGGAATTGGGGTAATTTCCATTGTTGTGAGACAAGCTATCTATTACTTGTTGCCATCTAGTGGGCTATTTTGATAATTACAGATTTACACACTATGGCTTTGCTTCTAAGACTTTAATTGGGGTGTATTCCTTTTTGCAACATCGTCTTGAATGAATTTGTTAGGAAAAATACCTTTTTTGTGTGCAAATTAACAAACCTTGTTTGCAATCAATGTCCCACATTGAGTATTTTGTAGTATAGTGTCCCATAGAAAAAGTTGATTCTGAAAGTAAAGCAAAGGTTTTTTGACAAATCTGTTGGGGTGTACTCATTTATGCTTAGCACTATATATATTTATTATAAATACTATAATAGGCCAGGACTGTGGTGGACATTTGTTAGTCTTTACTATTATATATGAAGAGAAATTAATATAAGATAGCGTATATGCTAATTTTAGGAACAGTATGATCCAGTTTGGATTTTAATAGTTTATGTAGTAAAGTTTGTAATAATTTTTTCCTTCAAGTATGGTCTCTTCTGTACCAGTAAAGTCTGATTAGCCTCTTTTTTGTTACATATATTTAACCACTTTAAGTCTGCTCTACAGCAGTATTACTGCTATAGGGCGGACTTGCTGCACAAAATGACATATATATGTGATTTGTGCTCCCATTATGATCATGGGCTGGGGGCGTGCACACGTGCCCGCTGACCCGGCGGTGCTATGATTCGGTGCCGGACCTAACAATCAGCTGATTCAGGCCAGTGATGTTCAGCCTGGATCTGCTAATTGATCCCTTCCCTATCACAGATCTACCTGTACCTGTGTTCACATTTACACAAGTACAGGAAATTATGCAATCTTCTCTCCCTGGGCACATTCCGTCCCAGAGAGAGAAGAAAGCAGATCCACATGAGTAAAAGCAATACACAATTACAGTAAAAATCATAGCTAATTCACTTTTTTTTTTAATAGCTGCGTTTATGGAAATTGTACATAAGTAGAACAAAACAAGGTACACAAGAACAGGAAAACCTATGACAAGCAGTAACAATACAATACATATGACATTTCCACACTAATGATCACACTGAGTCAACTGGACATCCTGGGTATAGGGGCAAGGAGAAAAGGCAAAAGGCAAATCATAAGCAGAAACAATAACCAAGCAAATAAACAGCACAAACTGGACATACCCGCAAGGCAATAATCCAAAGGTTATACCATTAGGCCCTGAGCCTCCACCCACCCAGCCCATATTTTATCAAATTTATCTGGGTAATTATGGCTCATATAAGTAAGTTTGTATAGCGGAAGTGCCCCGTTGATTGCCGATTTCCAGCCTGAGACTGACGACAGAGCCGACTGTTTCCATTTCAACAAAATTTCCCTCCTAGCATAGTAAAAAGCATAGAAGACAAACAACTGATTATGCTTAAATATAAAATGGTATTCCCCATGCGCTTTATATGGGCCTGTAAATATTGTG